CCGCCCCTGAGCCTCTGGCCTGTACCCCAGTTCTGTATGAATAAATAAATAAATCTTTAAAAAAAAAAAAGTTTAATTTGATGGAAGTCTAGTGAAGATCTAGTAAGATGAAGACTCAGACTTTAGGAAGAAATGAGAAGAGTTGGATCTAACAAATACAGATGATTCTTTTGAAGAATTTGCTTCAAAAGGAAGCAAAGAATAGCAACATAAGTAGAGGGGCTTTTTTTTTTTTCAAGATAGAAAAAATAATAGCAAGTTTGCATGATTATGAAAAAGCCTATAAGAGAAAATTAGAAAAATTATCTGTGTATTCATGAAATAACCAACAATGAAAATAGGCATGGGGTTGGAGATGAAGATGAAAGGTAGATAATGTATAGTAGCACTTACACAGGAGAATTTTTAAAATGAAATTAAAAGCCATGGTTTTAGATAGGAGAGAGGAATAATTATCTGGAAGCAGTAAGTGAGACAGTCAGTCATTCTGCTTCCAGGCCGACATTCAAAAGCAAAGGGAAAAACACAAGTCTTGAACTTGAGAGGACTACAGAGGAAGTAGTATTTCCCAGGAGAGACAATTTTCATTTTAAAAAATTCAGAGAGGACTGGATATAAAGGATTTGATGATGGATGATGAATTCTGAGAGCAAGGAAGAGTGTCAGTGGTTGGGCAAGGATTAGAACAGAAGAGGGGATATGCAGAGCTTTCTGGAACAGGATGACAAGAAGTGAGAAAGGAGGTAGGCACATGGGGCTTCACACAGTGGGCAACATAAGTGGGTAAAATGGCACAATGCAGTTCATTTGATGGGCTCAAGAAAGATAGTGATGGCACAATTGTGAATTTTGAGGGGCCAGGGCAGTGCAGGGAGTATGTGGCTCTCTTTTGATACCTGTTAGGGGAAAATGTATTTGCTCCTGGAGCTTCCTTTTGACTCTAATTGATGGAATTGCTGGACCTGAGACAATTTAAAAATTAAAATGATCCTTATACACTTGGATTTCTGATCAGATAGTTTACAAATTTTAAAAATCTCCCCACTGTAGAGAAATATAAACTAAATTTTTATAACAGAATTTGGTTTTACTTACATCTGTGTTACAGGAGCGATACCGTTTTCTTTCCCCAAGGCAGTATTTTCCACCTCCTGAAGGTCTGAAAACAAATTTTATTTTAACATGTGAATGTAATATATCATCCACAGAAAGACTACATACAGTTTAGTTGAGAGCATATTAACGTTCACTAAAAATTACAAACTTTGATATCATATTAGTTATTAAAAGAACCACATTGGTAATTGTGAGCAATAATGATTATGGTTGTTGCACATAAATATTAAAGCAGTTTACTATTGGTAATTTTAATTATTATTGACATTCTTAAGAAAATGAAGTTAAATCAATGTAATCAGGTGCTCAGCTCAACATATTGAGTTAAAAAATCAGTTAGTTAAAATCAAAATTCATTTGACTCATGTTCACAAAACCAATAATATGTATACCAAGGGAAATGAAAAATTTGGACTTTTTTTCCAGACTTGAAACAAGAATACTGAATAACTCTGGAAATATCTTTAGTTCAAAGTAAATAATGTAGAAATGAATTTCTACCTCATTTAAAATATTATATACAATTTTTAAAAACTAAAAAATCAGGTGATTTTGTATTATATATTTTTTTATTTTATAACAGTTTATTTTTACATCATTTTGTACATTTTTTATATATGTATTTTATACAACACTCAATGCAATGAAAAAGTAAGATGTCAAATGTCTGATTTACACAAACTAATTTTGGAATGTTTAACATTAGGGAAAACCATATGCTATTTATTTGGGTGTGTAATGTAAAGAACTAGCTTCTTTTAAAAGAGGTCCAGGTTTCCTAAGTATCATAGGGTTGTATATTTTTGGATATTAATTCATACTGGTCTGCAATTATACTTAGGTTAGTGGTTCTGCACTTGTTTAAAAAAAGAAAACAAGCCTGACATCATTTTGGCTCATTGCTATGGAGGGATCATTACAGCTACATTTTAAGTATATTTGAATGCTCATGAATGTTGACTGTGAGCAAGGAAAGACATGGGCCAGCCTGAAACAGCTTGGGAGGAGTAGTAGGTTGGTTAGACAAAAACAAGGTAGTGGGGATGGTGGGAGCATGGGTGAGTGACAGTGAGTGCTGTTCAGCACTGAGGGAAGCAGGAAAATGGAAACACAAAACTAATATAAAGACCTAATTTCAAGCTAAAAAGAGTCAAAGAAAGAGAAGTTGGGTCCTTTACTCCAGAAGATGGGGGGTTGGGTGAGAGGAGAAATGATGCTACAACATCATTATTCAGCACTGAATACTGTCAGGAAAGAAGGCCCTCGAGCTCCAGACAAAAGGGAGCTCTTGACAAGCAGCAGCTGAGAGGGCGACTCTGGGGAATGAGGGGCAGCCCACCTGCAATGGGCACTACTAGAGGGGAGAAGCAGTATGGGTAGCAAAAAATACTGGTGGGGTTGGCCTGATGCCAGGGGCACTCTGGCTGGAGAAAAAGAGAGGTGGGAGAGGAGCAGTCTGACCTGCATAAAATAGCCATTAGGAGAAAAGTGGTGGCAGTTCTGGAAGATGATTAACGGGGGCATGTGAATGGAAACTATTTTAACACATGGGCAGTATTCTTTTCATTGTGATTTGTGATGCGAATCAAGGCATTTCAACCCTTGAAGTGCTCTCATTGGTCCTTTTAATACTAATGTAGCAGTAATAATTTTATGTGACATGTGAAAAGACCTTAGGTAGCCTGGGAATAGTGGTAATGTAGCTAAGACTAGACCTGGTTTCATCCCTAATTCAGTAGTTTTTGGAGGAGGAAAGCTATCTGATTATTACTAAAGTAAAAGTTTAGCTATACCTGGGGTAGGTACTTTTCTTACTTTTTTTTTTTAATTTTTTCTTCTTTTATTTTTAGGTATACAGTAAGGGGAAAGGGAGAAAAAGAAAGTCTGACAAGGCTCCTCCACTTTCCTGTGCCTATTGCTTGTTCTGAAGACAAGCACTTGGCTCACTACTGAAACGTTTTTACAGATAACATGTGAAACCACAACTTTGAATCATTTCCAACAGTGTCTTTTTGTTGGCTCCGGCTTACTTTAGCTACTTACGCTGGACTGTCACAGTGTCTTAGGGATGAGGAGACGCCGCCCCCGCAGGTCCTGCTGCACTCTCCCCACAGTGACCAGGGACCCCAGCCCCCATCTATGCTCTGGGGCCAAGTGCCAAAAGGAACACAATCTCCCTGATAACACCACTGCAAAATTTCACAGAAAACACAGAATTAGCTTTTAGGCAGATAGAGCTATCAGGATAGAAATACATAGGGTTAGGCAATGACCAATTATAGGCATTAGCATTCTTCCAATAGATAACACACTGATAATTCTTTAGCTGTGTTTAGACATTGGTGAAGGTGCATGTGATTTGCAAATCATCTTTTGCTAGGTAATGATTTGTAAACCTCTAATATGTAACAGGAGTTCTAAAAAAAAAAAAATTGACTTCTCGTTCCTTAATTCCCCTCTTTTAGTGTTTCTCATTATGGAGACCTCAAAAGTCTTTTTTAGATATTTTAGTATTAAATTTTTTTCTTTATATTCCACTATTATTAGACTCATGGAATGATAACGCAATATGGAAAGTTCCCCAGTAAGGAATTTTTATGATGGTAATTGCTTTTTCTTAAAAAAAATTTAAAAGGCCGGTTGAGGCTACAATAGTAAAAGAATGTGTTGTGGCATTTCATCTACATGAGTACTGCAGACATAATAAAAGTAATGCCAAGACACTAGGGACCGGGTACAAAAAAACCCTTATATACACTGACTAGCCATGTGCATAGCCCCTGATGAACATGTGTACTGGAATTCTTCTCAGCTCCACTCTCTGCAATAAACCACACATACTGCATATAAGTAGAAAGCCAGGAATAATTTATCGAGACGCAGACATCACATAACCAGCTCATAACTCTAACATGATAAATCTTATTTGCAGAACACAGTAAGAATGAAAGAATTAAAAAAAATTTTTTTCTAGGCACTTGTTGGTGCATTTTTCTGAATTATCAAACTTTGACAGACCATAATGATGCTATGAAAGTAATCTGCTTATAGGAGTAACATATGAACAGGATCATCAGAGTTGAGTTCCAGCAATGTTATCTTGTTAAAGAAAAATGGGAATGATGAATGTGATTACTTTTTACCTTTTCCACTTTGCACCTGTTCCACTGCTACCACTAAACTGGCAAATGGAACAGCTACTTACCTGGTTCACCAGTTTCTACTTCTTTACTATCTTTCAAAACATACCATATCATATCAATTTTTGCTTAAGATTGTGGTGTTTCCCTACTTCCTTTAATACTGATGATCAGTGGCATTTGAAATGGAGCCCCTCTTTATTCTCTCTTTTGTACAAAATGCTTCATACACAATGGATTTCTTTTCCTCAGTACACTAAGCTTGCTGCTTCCTTGGGGTATCTGCATTTGATGGCCAGCTAGGAATATCTTTCTCTCGATTCCTCCTATCTCTGTCTTCTCATCATTGGATGTGAAGTCAGGTGTCTTTTCAACAGAAAGGACTTTCCTTGACCACAGTTACTCTGAAGTGGGACCCCATTATACAGTTCCTGCCGTCCCTCCTAACCTATGCCTGATACACCGATTATATCCTCCTGGTTTAGTTCCTCTTAGTGCTTAATGCATTTTATATTACCATGTTTATTCTTCAAATTAATTCTTTATCATGTCTCCTCTCATTAGTATGTAAGATCCCTAAGAACAAGTGACTATTAAAATTTAAATTGTAATTAAAAATTCTGTTCCTTGGGTCACTAACCACATTTCCAGTGTTTCATACACACACGTGGCTAGTGGCTATGTTAAGAGAAGATATAGAATATTTCCATCAATACAGAATGCAGATTATATGCACTAGAACTGTACCTAGAATGTAGAAGATAAGCAAAATTTATTGAATAACACATTAATGAGATTATAGAATTCTATATGCTTTTATTATTATTATAAGCCTGGAAGGAACTAGAGATACTTCAGGGTAAAAAGTATAAAGTCATCTTTTTCCCCCTGGCACTCAGTAATATTTTAGCAGTTCCAACAAGATAAAGGATTTCTTTACAAAGGTGCTAAACAATTTTTTTTCATAAAAAAATTAGTTCAGAGGAAGTAAAATATTGGATGCTTTTTAAAAGTAGAACATTATGACCATATGTTTAATAAACATTAATTTAGGACATTAATAAAGATTATGAGTTTGGAGCAGCGAAATTACCACGAAGGGGGAAAAAAAATCTGTCCAAAATGCTGAAGCAGTAGTAGGCTAACTTGATAACAGAAGATCAATTCTTGGAGCAGGGTGGCTGATAATGTATACTTGAGAAGGAGATAATGTTCTCTTTGCATGTGTCATTTATTGAAGTGGTCATGAAGACCATCTACTTGCATAATGATATACCAGTTGGGTTAGACCTCACAATATAAAAGTCACATTAGGTTAAGTAATCATCAGTTTTATAGTTTTGTTATTACAAGTAGCTGAGTATCATAATATTTATGTTTGTACCTACTTTCCTATGAGAATAATTGAGCAACGTAGCACTGAACAACAATTACTGCAATTAGTACATGAAAGAACTCCAAATCTTAAAAGCTACCTATTTTTTCAAGTTGGAAATTTAGCATTATTGATTTCAAATATCAATAAAGTTTGAATTTTTGGTTATTTTATATAAGCTTATAATTGCATCTCAAGTTTAAAGGAAATTTAGAATTCATGTGGTCTAAGAACTTTGTTTTGTCTGATGAGTAAACTGCAACCTGAAGGAGGCTAACTTACCCAAGGTCACTTACTAGTAGAAATAAACAAAACTCAGTGGCAAAAAAAAATCAACTGGTGGGAACATTAAAGAATATTCTAAAATACTTTACTAGATTATTTTTTTAACTGAACACCAGAGATTAAAAAACTCAACGTAGTTACAAGTGTACATACATATAAAATAATCGGACCTCATTGAGTAGATTCATAATATATAGAGAAAAAATTTTACTTTCTGAATTCTTAATAGGTCGAGGGAACTGTGAAGACTACAAGAATATTGAAAGATGTAGGTTCCAAAGCCTTTAATAATATTATGCAAGTTTCCTGGATGTTGAGAAAATTGTAGTCTATGACAAAAGCTCACATTAATTCTTACTTCTCTTTTAAAACTTATTTTTAAGTTAAAAGATAAGTATAATCTATGGATGTTTATATCTATGCAAATTATGTCTCAATAAGTTATATATTTTTAAGAAAAGATAAATACAATATTCAGTTTGTAAAATGTTATGCCGTTCACATCATTAATTAGTATCTATCTACAGAGCAATAGTATTTTGTAATAGAGTGCTAGAACATTTTACTGCATAAATTCATTTTACTGCAGTTCACATCATTCATTAGTATATCTGCAGAGCAATAGTATTTTGTAATAGAGTGCTAGAACATTTTACTGCATAAATTCATGTAAATGATTATATCTATTGCATGGAGTTGAAAAAGTCAAATAACAAAGATTAATGGATGAAGAATGAAGTAATGATAATAATATAAGTATCAGTGAACTAAGCGTTGACAAGAGACTAATGTCTAGTTTAACAACTTGGTTAACTAGGGAATAGGTAAGCAACTGCAACCTGCATGTACTCCATGTTACAAATCTGAGTTCTCATTCTAGCAATGTCTTTGTCATTGTCAAGTCATTGTTTCTTTTCTTTAGGATCCCTGACTATAAAATGGTAACCAATTTTGATTTTCTATTCTGATATGGCTTGGATTAGGACAACCTTAGAAATTAGTTTTACACAAACATACCTTCAAAGTCATGCAAAAAAAAAAACACTATCAAAGGTTTGTTTGATATTGATCTCTGGCAAACTGAAGTATTCTTTGTATTTTGTTTAATTCTCCAACACTCTTTGTATTTATAAGGTAGCTGTTAAGAATTTTGCTACTTCTCTCTTCTGAAAATAATATTTAACATGGTATATGATTTAAAAAAAAAAGATTTATTTATTCATGCATACAAGAGCTGAGGTGCTGGCCAGAGGGGGGGGGCGGGGGTGTAAGAGGATTCACCAGAGGCAAAGTTGGGAGCAGAACTGGCAGATTGACAAAGTACACTGCTGAGGGGAGCAGCAGGTGAGACAGGAGGTCAGCTCCTGGGATGGGAATCAAACTTGTGCTGCAGGCTGCAGACTGCTTCTTAGTGCTGAGATTTAACCCCTTGCACCACCATGAAGGCCCGACATGTTATATGACTTTAAGAGAAGAAATTTACTTATTAATAAATGCCTTAAGAAACCTTTAAATGACTTCATGTGGCTCAAGTTATTTAAGGTAATTTTCTAGATGATCACACTAATAAAAATACATCCCTGGTGGTACAGCAGGTTAAAAGCACAGCACTAAGAAGCTGAGACCACTTCAGCATGAGTTTGATCCCCATCTGCCCCAGAGGTGACCACATGGCGTGGCAGACCTCTCCTGACCCGCCCACTGCTCCCCTCAGCAGTGTACTTTGTCGATCTACCTGTTCTGCTCCCCTCTCTGTCTCTGGTGAAGCCTCTCACCGCCTCTGCATCTCTGGCCTGTACCCCTTTATGCACAATAAATAAATCTTTAAAAAAAATCAAGATCTGAATATGTATACAGCATAAGTAATATAATTAGATTACACAAGTAGGCCAACTTGAAGTAAATAAAATAAAGTACAAACACTGAAAGGTAAGAATCTTGAGTGTTGTATTTTCTATACTCTTTTTTAATTTTACCTGAATTTGCCAAACCTGTAAAAAGGTCTACTTCCATGCGCATAGATTTTTGCTTAATTTCTTAAATAAGAAAAATAAAATATTTAGATAGAAACCAGTTTCTAATCTTTCTTCTCAAAGGTTATATACAATCCAGTGATTTTTTTCACCTAAATAACCCACATAAAAAAAAAAAAGATGAATTTAGCCTTCCTTTACTAATTACTTTACAGATTCAGAAGGTGAAAAACTTAAAATTATTACATTTTAAAAATAAAACTCATTTACACTTACTTTTCACATTCCTCCTAAATAAAAGAAATATATTTTAAAAGCTACCTACACAGATCACATTGTGCACTGAGGCATTAAAAGTTTTCCTAGGAAATATTTATTAACTATTAAATAATATCTCTTGTTATTTAGACCACTAA